TTCATTGCTTCTGTCGATGGAATATGTTTTTCTGATGAACTCGATACTTTCAAGGTACAGCCCAAAATATAATAATGCTTTTTAATGTCTGCTCATTGCCACGCCTGAGTGCTCTGAGCCTGCTGCAAAGAACTTTATAATAAAAAATAAAAATAATAAATAAACAAGGTCAAGATGAAATGAAATAAGCTTACTAGTGCTATTGATGTATTTAAGGACATTCCACAGTTTTTAATGTTAAAAAGGCTAAATGATGGATGCTGTAAGAAACGCCTTTAAATCATATATAAGACAAGACAGGTGGAAGAGCGGTGTTAAGAAACTCAGAGAAAGATAAGGAGAGTTTACCATGAAAAAAGATGAGTGACTAGAGGAGAGTTTGGAAGTATGAATGGAATGGGTAGAGTAGGTGAATTACCTCTGCCAGTGATTTTAAACTGAATGTCTGAATGAAATCTAGAGGTGTGGAAAGAACTGATAAAAGCTAAATTGAACTGTTACATAAAACACAACATTCCATCATATTGTGCTGCACAGTACAAATATGAAAAATACCAAGTGTGAACATACAATTTGGAGTACATGATAAGGCAGTGCTACAATCTTTTATAAGAAATTGCTGCATAGGATATGTGTTAGCTTGCAAAGGACTACGTATGTCTTCCACAAACATCTTCTATTCTGGCTTTTTTTCATGCTTCAGGCATCTAGCTGTAGCATATTTGGAGTTGTTCTCATTTGCAACTGTATGATGATGTAATCTCTCTGATAGTTATTAACTTGGCCTTAGGTCCATTTTGGCCTTATAGATCAGAAACCTGTACATTCCCTCTGTACCATGGAGTTTGGTATCATGAGTATTATTTTCTCTCTCTCCAAGAAAACCTCAAAGAAACCTCTATCATCACATGCGTATTTTCTCTGTACAGGTTACCAAGGGTGCCATTCCATTAGACATAGTGTTGTAAGTGTGTGCAAAAGCTCATTTAGCAGAAGCTGACTGTTGAGCAAATTAACTGGTGGAAGAGATTAATATTTATTCTGTTTTCCCAGCACAGCAAAAATGTTAAATATATTGTGTAGTATCAAGAAATACTTTAGGCTACAATAAACCTTCCCATTTGTGTTATCATCTTTTGGTATATATTATCCCCCAAAAATCTTTTTTGTGTGTGTATTCAAAAATAAATATCTTTAATTCATGCTTAAAGGAAAAAAAAAAAAAAAAAGCAAACATAATAGTATGGAAATATTTCCTGCTATGGTAGAAAAAATGGGCTTGCCCAGTAAAAGTTAATTTTGTTGCTAATTTTACAAGAACCTTCTTGTTCTGTCATATACACACACAGAGAAGGTAGAGAAAAAGAAACTGAAAAGCTTCACACTGTCATCACAAATCTTTTGATGGTTCTTTGATGCAGATATTTGCTAAGGATTACAATGAACATTCTTCCTATTCTGCTATGTGATTCTGTGAATTGAAGCCTTCTCAGAGCTGCATTTTGCTTTGACCAAAAAATATATCTTACATATGAAATTTTCAGTAGCTGAATTGGAAATAAGGTAAAAAAGCATCACAGATGGAATGTTAGGAGATAAAACTCAGCAGCAGGAGATATATTAATGGCTGGTGGATAATTAGCAACAACTTCATGTCTCAGTGTCACTTTTGCCATGGGATTGATGCAATGAGCCTGTTAATACTCGTTCACAGTTGGATTTTAGTAGGTATTTTGCTACAGCTGCAGCTGCAACAGCTACAGAGTGTGTGTGTGTGCAATACCATATATGCACTGTGTGCTTGGATTTGGCTGCAATGTTTTGGCTCTGCATGAGTTTTATGTTTCTCTTATTGTTTGTTATTTGCCATCCTGGAGTCAGTTTACTTCCACCTTTCCTGCTCATTCTTAGATTTGCTTGGAACAACCTTGGCTGCTGGTATGAGAAGTTTCTAATTGTAGGGCAAGAGTGCCAGTTTCCCTGTAAAGCAAGCAGTGATTGGAGTGTCAGTGAATATGAATAAGTCTATTGATTCTTTGCTATTATGTTCCTCTTTCTCTAGCGTTTCTACTATTAGAAAAACCTTCAGAAGATAAAGTGTGACTGGTATGAGAAAAAAAAGAGGTTTTGATATATATAAGGAGGAACTTTTCTAGATACACTAAGAATACTAATACATTGCAAAGGATGGGTGAATTACTTAAGCTATATGTAATAACAAACAAAATATTCACACTATAAGGTGTGAGTATTGCCTGGTCCTTTTACAGAATTGAGCTGACCTCTTGGGTGCATTGAAGGAGCCTATACCTCAATTTCTTGTGCAGCAGAATCTGAACAAGAGTAGTGTGTTTCGCTGTTCAGGCACATTCTGTTTTTTTAAAAACAGAATAGGTTAAAAATAAAAACTAGAATACTCTTCCAGAGAAGCTAAACACTTTTCCCCTAAAAAAAAAGGCAGAAAGGAGCAGCAAGCCCCCATAAAACTGAAAATAAGAAAGAAAATAGAATCATATCAAATAATGTAATATTTTTAGGATGCTTAGGAAATATATTGCAATAGAAATTTCTCTGAGTGGAACTGTGAAGAGTACAGATTTATTCTGCAAAGTATCAAAAATCTTCAGTTTCTCCATCCTGAATTCTTTCTGTAATTTTAAAGTTAATGATATATCAATAATTATTTTTATAGTTTGTTTTTATTTTACAGAAGCTAGAGGGGCAGACAAAGATTTAATTAAAAAAATGGGTAAAAAGGCAAGAAAATGAAGTATTCTAACTATCCACTAGGCTCACTGCTGATAGGCGTATCAGATGTTTATGTTGAAAGTTGGTTATCATCAGTTAATCATACTATATTCAGCCTGTCCTTAAACACTTTGGGGCTTTTAAGTTCTACAGAAGGTTAGTATAAATGAAGGAAAATCATATAACAGGTTCCATTGTACAGTAATATTAATGCTCTAGTGTTTAAATGTAAATACAAGGATTTCTAGGAAAAAAAAAAAGAATAAATCCTTGGGGATTAAATTTTCAGTAAATCAAAATTCTAGATAAATTTCCCTGCCTTATTTCCAACCATTAAAAAATATACCAGTCTGTTCTGTAAAACTACCTAGAATTTTTTGGTGAATTGTCTTGGATTTCCTACTTTTTCATAAAGTTATTGTATACCAGACTTGTTTTCTGTAATGAAAATTTCCTAAATCAAGATGGGCTGAGTGTATAATTTAATATATTGATTACATTTTTGGATGGTGAGAAAAAAAACATTTAAGAACACCTCTTTAGACAAAATTTCACGAGGACTTCTAGTATGTAAAGCTTTTGAGCATGCAAGGCTCTGTGGATGAAGAGCTCCCCAGGTATACACTGATGGGGGGACTGGAGTTGTTTGTGTCAATGGTTTGCAAATAATGGGTCTCTAGGAGAATTTAAAATTGCAGTTTTCACGCCAGTCTGTGGTGCTGTTTAGGATGAGCTGAGTTGCTATGAGGCTTGGCACTCTTCAGTGCACCTTAGGCAGCAGTTCTTATACTTCCATTGAGATTGTAACAGCTGGCCATTACAATCAATCAAGTGACATTTCAGGGGTATTTTTTCTTTAATATTAAGGAAAAAAGGAGAAATAAAAGATATTAAATTGTAACTTTTCCCAGAAAGATGAAGGAATTTGTAGCTTTACCTTTGACTGCAAAAAGCAGGCACTTGCAAAGTAAATCACAAGCTGATCATGAATTTATTTTTATATGGGACATTCCAGTATTTTCTCTTCATATATAAATGCTCTCAGTATCTTTGTAGTATCAGTTCTATGTTGGTGTTGGTTGTGTGTTACACAAGTCTTTTGCGCATGTAAGTGCCCAGCACTCAACTATAGGATGTTTGTAAACTTGCAGGGCTGAGAAGAACTTCACTAGCCAAACCATTAGATATCATGTAAATTTTCTTTGCTTTAAAAAAAGCTTTCAAAGCAAAAATAAGGTATTGGAGATATTAGAGAAGAGATGACGATTCTGAAGAGTAGAAGGGGCAGCCTTCAAAGTGGGTCAAAAAAGAGTCTTAGAAAAATCTGGAACAGTAGTATCTTCTAAGTTAAAGTTTTTGTATTCCTGAAGTGGAATAGGAAGCAAGAAAGGTTTGATTGACTCCAGTGTAGGATTCAACCACCAAAACAGTTTGTGCCTAAGTTTTTTCTGCTTCTCCTGTAGTACAGTGTGAGTTAAGTTATAATCTTTGCATAATATATTGCTTTAATGTTTTACTCTGTCTGGAGTAGCTAATCCTAGTAGTAGCTATATGTACATAATCATATGTTCCGATTATTCTATATGCAGTTAAAGTTATTAATGAAGCAGTCTTACTGGGTATTGGCAATCTGTTTATCAGAAACAAAGAAACAAAATCATGAATGTAGAGATTATAATCGAAGTGTTTAATGCAAAGCACATCCTTCCTGGAGACTGCCTAGGTAACTATGTATTTAGCTATTTTGCTACTTAAGGTCTTCAGGGATATTTAACAATTAAAGCATCTGTACCTGAAAGATCAGAGCAGGGAAAATAGTAGAGAAGCTGTAGTATGATGCAGCAACAGTGATATATCAAATTTCTTCTCTCTGTTCCTAAAGTAATGCAATTGACACTAATTTAAGTAAGACCTAAAGGACCAGGTTCAGAAAATAGTAACCACTTAAACTTCCCACCATTAGCAACTGCTACTCTTCAGGGTCAGTTCTCTTTTCAGTATATACACAGTGTGGTTTCTCCCATAAACATAAAAGAGCCTCCTCTTAGGTGAAAGATTAGTTAAGATGGTCAGGCAAAGCAGTGTAGATCAAAGCACTTTAGGAGGGTTGCAGTGAGGGATCTCTTTCCTTCATCAGACAATCGTGGTTACTTTGGTGACACTGATTTTTTTTTTTTTTTTATATTTTATTTTATTTTTTTCCACTAATAATTAAATGAATTTTATTCACCTCTTCCTTGTTCTCTTTACAGGTCATCACAGAGCATCTCCAGGATGAGCAGTCTCATCAGAAATCAGGTGAGACTGTTATGCTGACTTTGATCAACAGCAGTGAGAAACATGTTTTGGTTATTTTGTGATGTGATTGAAGCAAAGAAACATGAACAGAGGAGTGTTGCATCCTTGATCAAATGAAGCCTGGGAATAAACCCTTTTTTAGAGAAAACCACTTAAAACTTGTCCAGTCTCTTAAACATCTTATATTTCATTTGCCATAATGTTTTGGGTTTTTTTCCCTGGCCTTGACAAGTTCATAATGTCCAAGTAAATGCTGCAACAAAGTCTGTATCTCTCCTGTATCATGTACTAGTCTGCCCTTCTTCCCTTCTTTTGAGATGTCAGCTCCTGCCTTCTGCTATGCCCTTGTTGGCTACTTGTTAGATTTTCAAACAAGCACTTTTGTACTTTCTTCTGTGTTGACCCTGTACTTGAAACTTGCCATAAACATTTGAAAGCTGACTTCATTAAATTCAAGTCCTTAAAACTCTCCCTTTTTATTTTTATGAAGCCTATGAAAGAAATGGGAAGAAATATCAGGCTGGGGACATTCTGTGAATGCTGCATTTCCTACTTTCCTGGTTTCTTTGTGCACCTGCTTGCATCTCTCTTGTTCTCTTCAGCCTGATGTTCTGTTTTGCAGTCCCTGGGAAGTGACTGGATTTGTCCTCTTGCTACCTAGCACAGCAGTATTCCACTCTGTGATCTGGGGTTTCACAATGTGGTTGAAGTGCTGTTTTAATAAGTAATACAGTTAGGAACTAAGTTTTGGATATTCAGCAGGACTGTTCAAAAATTTTAGATGATTAAGATTATCAGTCTTGCTCAGAATTGGCATATGTTATGGCATTTGACTTCTTTTTTGAAGTGATCTTCTCTGTCTTTTTAAGTTGTTCTGCTTATGTTGGATAATCAAAGCTAGACTTAGGAACTTCTGTCAGAAATGAGAACAGCTAAGGTTATAGGATTCATCTGGCATAAAGACAGGTAAATTGTAAAGCCCTATCTGGAACATACTCTGAAACAGTGTTCAGATACTAGCTGAAGTAAGCATCTGTGCTTTTTCCTCTGAGACCTGCCTTTCTTTGTCTGGGTGTGAAGTTTTAGAGGTGCTCCCTTTAGCAGTCTCTTCCATGTCAGCAAAGGTGGATCCATTTCTGAGGTCCCTCACTGCCACTACACCTTTCATTATACCCTTCAAGCATGGTTTCTGCCCTGCAAGCCAGACGTGAAAGGTGGGTACTGTAACAATCTCATGCTGCTCCAAAAACTAGAATTTATGTCTAGCCTTTTGTTAGTTCTTTCGAGTTCTTTCTTCTCTTCCAGTTTGTTTTTCAGGAGTTACCTACAGGTTTGATTTGATTTGATTTTTATATTTCGTTTCCCCTAATCTGGACAAAACTTTCTTCAGGAACATAAAGCTTCCCAGACAGCTGGCAATAAAGTTGCCATTCTACAATACACAGGGGAGTTTTAAACAGAAGTTCATGATCTTCCTGCATAATCTTAATGCAGAGATAATTTGCTTTTTCAGTAGTATGAAGACTGGGGAGTGGGTTGAGGCCTCGAACAGATAAGGAATGATTTGACATCATCTACCTGGACTTCTGCAAAGCTTTCGACACTGTCCTGCATGGCATCCTTGTCATGTCATCACATTGGAGAGACATCAATTTGATAGAGGGACCACTCAGTGAATAAAGAACTGGCTGGATGGCTGCAAAGAGTTGTGGTCAGTGGCTCAGTGTCTGGCTAGAGAGCAGTAATGAGTGGTGTCCCTCAGGGATTGGTGTTGGGACCAGTCTTGTTCAACATCTTTGTCGGTGACATGGACAGTGGGATTGAGTGCACCCTCAGCAAGTTTGCCGATGACACCAAGCTGTGTGGTTTGGTTGATACGCTGGAGGGAAGGAATGCCATCCAGAGGGACCTTGACATGCTTGTGTGGTGGGCTGAAGCCAACCTCATGAAGTTTAACCATGCCAAGTGCAAGGTCCTACACCTGGGTGGAAGCAATCCCAGGCACACCTACAGGCTGGGCAGAGAGGAGATTCAGAGCAGCCCTGCAGAGAAGGACTTGGGGGTGTCGGTTGATGACAAACTTAACATGAGCCAGCAGTGTGCGCTCACGGCCCAGAAAGCCAACCTTATCCTGGGCTGCATCAAAAGGAGTGTGACCAGCAGGTCGAAGGAGGTGATCCTGTCCCTCTACTCTGCTCTCGTGAGACCTCACTTGGAGTATTGTGTGCAGTTCTGATGTCCTCAACATAAAAAGGACATGTAACTGTTGGAACAAGTGCAGAAGAGGGACACGAAGGATGATCAGGGGACTGGAGCACCTCCCATATGAAGATAGGCTGAGAAAGTTGGGGCTGTTCAGCCTGGGGCAGAGAAGGCTGTGTGGAGACCTCATAGCAGCCTTCCAGTATCTGAAGGGGGCCTATAAAGGACGCTGGGAGGGACTCTTCATTAGAGATTATAGTGATATGACAAGGGGTAACGGGTTAAAACTTAAACAGGGGCAGTTTAGATTGGATATAAGGAGGAAGTTCTTTTAGTGTGAGGGTGGTGAGGCACTGGAATAGGTTGCCCAGGGAGGTTGTGAATGCTCCATCCCTGGTGGTGTTCAAGGCCTGGTTGGACAGAGCCTTGGGATGGCATGGTTTAGTGTGAGGTGTCTCCTCCCATGGCGGGGTGGGTTGGAACTAGATGCTCGTAAGTTAATTTCCAACCCTAACTATTCTATGATTCTATGAATAGTATTCTATCAAAACTGTGGATGTCTAATGCATGTACATTCCTGAAGTTTTTGCTGGCAAATATTGTATTGCACTTGCGTACTAAGCCTTTGTCTCTCAAGCCTGATCTAGTGCTTACTAGCCTTTTCACTTTGTCAGTAATATGCAAGCTTTCTCTTAATTCTGCTGTAATTTGCAAGGACACAAAGCATGCTTGAAATTACTTACCTGACTGCGCTTTGTGTGAAGAACTCCATCCTCTCAGCTGTTATATATTAACAGTGAATTACAGTTCACTTCAATGCAATTAGACCTAATGAGGTGCACATGGAGACTATTGGGCCACCATGTAACCACATTAGATGGACTTACTAGTTGCCATTTTAATCAATTGGTTTGACCTTTGAATGCAAACAAAGCACAAAGAACTTCATGGCCCAGATACCTATTTACTTGACTGCACGGAGAGATGAGAAAAAATAGCCTCTGATTTAGAAAAGCTGTTTCTTTTGGGAATCTTTAGAAGAGAAATCCATTTTGCAAAAGTATGGTTATAATGGTTGGTCATATCATAAACACAGTTAAAATATTACCATAAATATTTCACTTTTTTTTTTTTTTTCTGGTGTGACTTGTTTTGAAATTTATGTCTTGCATCATTTGCTATTTAGTGACCAAAGGTCAAATTTCATAAGAAAGAAATTTTATCAGATTACATTGTGGTAATGGCAATGAAGCACAGCCTTATGTAACCTTGTTGAAAGTAGGTGGACTTCCAATGAGACAGTTTTTGTTTAATTATATTAAATAACTTTTTATTGTTGTGTATTAGTGAGAATATTTTCACATCATCTGGGATACACTCTTCAAGTCCTTACCAGGTGGAACTGCCATTAATGACAAAGAAATTACACAATGTCATCATTTACAGTTTTGAATTTTCATTAGGAGGAGGCTATTGATGGGGGGAGTTAAATATGGGGTTAAAACTGAGAGGGGTAAGTGTTCCGCTTCCCAGAGAAACCTTCCGAGAGTAGTAAAATGAAAAGCAGTAGAACTGTTTCTACATTTTTTGCATAGATGTAGATCTATTGCTCTCTACATAATTATTGCTCTTTCATTTATTCCCTGTTTTGCTTCTTGTGGTAGGCCCCCAGAACAAATATTCACTTTTATTGGGGAGGAGACAGGAAGGTTTTCAGAGGCCTATGAAGAGTAGCTAGAAAGTATCAGTCAGATCTTTTTCATGGATAAAACACTTACGGTTTAGCTTTCCTCATGCTATTCTTCCTCTTGTAATGTTGGACTTTCTTCCTCCCTGTGTCTTTGTGGTATATGTGTGCTAGAAGGCTGTATGCTGTTTAGGGCAGAGAGTATCTTTTTCATTTCCAGGAATTTACAGCATGTAGCACAGTGGAAGCCTGATTGCTGTGTAGAACTTCAAGCTCATTTCTCATTTTGAGTTCCGTTGAGAATCAGTTTTTATATCAGACAGGTAGCCCATGAGACCAAAATTGCCTGTTTTACGTGCCTTCTTGAAACACATAACAATGAGTGAGATATGGAACAGGGAAGAAGGTTCCCAAGCATGGATTTGATTGAAATGCCAGGACAGCCTGTCCTGTACAAAGGCACATACATATAGAGGCAAGAAAGCAAGAGAAAAATAGGTAGACGTAGTCTTCAGGAGATGGGAGACATGTCTGTGAAACTCTCTATGTCAAAAATATTCACAGGCAGGCTGTAAAAGGTGAGTCTCTCTAATTCCCATTCTGCAGCAGAGTTTGGTTTCTGTCTTACCTTCCAGAATAAATTTTGTATTTGTCATAATGAAGACTATTAAAAAAAAAATGGGGGGGGGGGGGGGGAAGGGAGGTAATTTGGTAATTTTTAGAAATTCAAGGTGATTACTAAATTAATTAACATACAGTAAATACATATATATTTTTACATACAGATTGCAGTGGTGGCTTGGCTGTATTACACATAATGTGGATCGGCCCAAAATGTTTGGGAAGTGTACCTACCTAGTATTTCTATTGTTAAACCCTTGCTAATTATGGCCTTCTTCCTTGGAGAGTAAATAGTTGCCATTAATGGCTGAAATGGTTCTCATTAGTCATTTCCAGGAGACTGAAGTGGCTCATTTTTATAAATCTCTGGTATATTTGAAAATTATTGTCTTACAACTTTCAGAATAACTTCTGCACCACCCCTTCTGAGAGGACATGAGTCAGATGTGCAAGCTAACAGGAATCTAGATATGAATTCCTGGTTATGAGT